ATGCAACTACTATATGTCTTTATTTATAATGTTTGAATGAATCTGTACTATAAATTGCCAAGAAGATAAATTTATGGATAGTAAAAAAATGACAAAGTAAATGGTTCAGTAGTGTCCCATTGGCTATATAACTTCCCGAATAAGTAAGCCATCGTTCATTCTATAATCAATTCATCTGTTAACCCCCTCAAGTTAAAATTTTTAAACTAACACTGACAACAGAAATACATTTTAATGCAAAACATATGAGGAAAAGAATGAATGAAGAGCTAACTATATGATCATAATTATAGCAATGACAATTAAAGGGAAACTTTCATTTAAAATTAAGATGCTTTTATTATAATAAATAACCGAACAGAACACCAAGACATATAGGCTCTTTTTCATTGAGATGAAAAAGAAGAAATGTGCAGCTACAGATAACACCATGTTTACAGTGACTAGACACTATCTGGGTCCCACCTGACGAACCCTACATTTCTGATGGGAGTCACTCAGAACTACACCACAGACAGGCCCAGGTGCTTGATATGGTTATTTACTTCTAGTGCAATTTGTTAACATTTTTGCATGAATGTCTACTTTCAACTCCTAGCTCCTTAAATTTTTTTTTTGTGGATAAGAATTTTTATTATTATAATTATTCATGGCTCCACATGATCTCAAAAACATGACTACAGTAGCCACTGAATAGACAACTGGGAATTAAACCGACGCAACAAAAACAAGACTAATTTTCATAGGAAGGGAAAAGTACATTGTGGGCAGAGGGGAGTGAAACGTGGATTTGAAAGTTGCTTCACAAAAATGGGCATCTCTGTAACTTCAGAGAGCTGCCATCAACTGTTTTACTGAGATTTCGCACACGTGCGCACGCACACACACGTACTATGTGTTTTTCATGGAATCTGACATACACAAGGTTTTAAAAATCCAATTGCTTAAATATGAACATGCTGAAAGAACATCTTGAAGACTAATTGATACCCAAAGCAAATCACTTCTAAACCAAGAGGTGAATTTTGGATTGTACGAGGGGCAGAGGAGTTGATGGACCAGGTAGATGACAGCAGAATGCCTCACAATGCTGTCCCCTAGTATGACACCTGCTTGGCCAGGGGAAATCTGTATTTAAAGTCTAAACAATCTGTTGTAAACTATTTTTTCTGTTTCAAGAAATTGGGCAGGTTTTAAAAGTTGTTATTTATCTGAAAATTTCTATACTCGATTCAAGTCAAAATATTCCTTAAATGTTTTTGCACAGTGAATTTTGCTGTGTCTCTTATGTAATGCTGAGGGGTGATACAGCTTGCTAATAAATATGCAAAATAGAATCTTCTGAGGTATCCTTCAGGCCATACATCTGAGGTACTTTGACCCAGACACACTTCTCTGTCAAATTGGGCCATAGCAAAATTTCAGGAAGCAAAAACCTACCACAAGTGTCATGATTTTTTTCCTGGTCAGGTTCTAACGATGGACTTGAATAATATGGAAAGACAGGAAATGAATTCAACTTTTCCATACCTTTTGATTTGAGACAATAATAATCCCAAGACTTCTGAGATGCCGTTACGAGACACCATACAAGATTGAAACAACAAGATTCCCACCTTCTCCTCAGCAACTGCTTTCTGCCAATTTTGATTAAAGTTTAGGTGTGCTCTATATAGATACACTAGACACACTGAGCGTGGAAGACTCCTCAATAACCCTCCCCTTTCTTAAAAAAATTGGAATAGATATATATTCACTTTTTGGATGTCTTTCCCGGTATCCTTCTATGTATGGTCTATTATTTTCTGATGGCCTACTTTGAGACTCAGAGAGTTGTCATGCAATGTTCACACAGAAATGATGCAAGATAAAGTTAAATGGGATTACCTAAGCCTCCTGCCTCCTCATTAAGTGGCTAGAAATGGGAAAGAGAAATTTAAAATATAGCTTTAGGAGCCATTTGCTGCCCTTTTTACAACTTATTTTTCAATATCTGGCTACTCCTAGAGACAGTAAGTGATGCGATCCTGAGCTAGTATAGTCGTCACTTAACATTACTGCTGTTTGATGAAAATGACATGTCATTTCATTGTAACTGATAATGACTCACACACACAACTCTGAGTAGATGTGGAGTCCACAGGCTGAGACTGAATGCTTTATTGCTATTAACTGCTTAGTAAATTTGGAGATTTTTTTCTGATCCACGGGGAAGAGGAACAGGAAAAATTGAAAGAAGGTTTAGGTATTAATGTTCCCTTCCGTGCGTGGTGAATATATTGGACAGTAAAGGCTAGCATATCTTAATCACTGCTATTGCAATGATTGTCAACTGCGATTTTCAGTGATTTCCCACCACCTTGAAAATCAAACCCGAATTCTTCACATAACCTGACCAACTCTACATGTCACTGCAAGAGTCATCGCTGGGGAAGAATATCAGTGTGTGTCTCTGTGAAACTCACCGCTAGCCATTTCCTTCACATGGAGATCATCATCTCCCCTTTCATATTATTAACTATTTTTTAAATCTTTTATCATCTGCCTTTATTTCTTATCCTCTATGAAGGTTTCTCCAAACTTTAGAGCTAGTGACTCCTTGCTCTATGTCCCCACAGCTGATGGGTGAGTTGGTCAGGCATGTGTCAGCATATAGTGGGATCGACACTCATACATCCTGACACCCCCTCCCTAAACAATCTGCCTGATTCACCATCATGTTTCCTGCATCCAGCACAATTCCTAAGAATGTAACGTTACTTATGCAATGAATGAACGAAAAGCTGAGACCAGATGAGACGCGCAGCCCTCCCGTCCTCACCTTGGTAGTCTCTTCACTGCAATCGGCACTCTGGGCTGATCAATCGCTGCTGGTCCTGCTTGTTGCAGGAAGATGGGTGCCACTCACCTGGCTTGCTGGCAGACGCAGCAGACCCAGACCTTCTCGTGCTTCTGGTAGGAGCAGCAGCTCTTGCAGACGTTGAACGCGCAGTCCCCACAGCGGCGCTTGCTGTTGACGAGGAAAGTGAAGGGCGAGCAGCAGCGCATGCAGCAGTGCTCCACGAACTTCTGGTGCTTCGAGAGGATGCTGCACTTGCTGCCTTCTTCGTCCAGCTTCTGCTTCAGCTCGCTGGGAGAGGGTGAGGAGGAGAGAGGATAAAGGGTTAGGGGGCTCTCCTGGGCATCTCCCCACCCCCTCAGCCCTTCCACAGGGTGAGCCACATTGAGAGTCTTTCCGTATGACGATGAAACTCAGAAAAATCAATCGCTCGACATAATATCCAGAGAAGAACCCCCAATGGTGGATTAATTCTGTGTACTTCCATATGCCATATTTTCTGTGAGAAAGCATGAAAACCTTACTACTTATATTTCAGACACTACGTAGAGATACATCTTATTATAAAACTAAGCACATCTTAGAAAAAGAAAACCTTTAACTTAATTAACACCTTTTTAAAGGAGCAGGAGCTCATGTTATTATGTTAAAACATTAATCCTCACAACAGCCCTGCTGGGAAAATGATCAATGCAGTCTTGGCCTGATTTAACGTTCCTGGAAATGGATGCACCCAGGGATTTTAAAAGCTTTCAAATCAATGTGAGTCAATAGAGATTCTCTGGGTGATGGGCAAATCCTAGGCACTGGCAATTCAGAGTTGAAGAAAAGACAACCCCTTTCTTCCAAAGAGTTCATGGTCATACAGGGCACAAGGCCAGCCATATTAATGCAAAACATGACATTGCATGCACTCCTGTCTATACTTGGTGAGAAGAAAATGGGGGACCCTGAGAGGCAAGGGTACACCCCAAGCGGACTGAGTTATCTAGAACCGAGTTACTCTGACACAAATTTGTGTGGTTTTTGCTGCTAGAAAAATGGATGCCCACAAATAGTAACGGAAAAATAATTTATTTCTTCTGTACCAAGTTTGTGATTGAGCATCTCATCCTAGATAAATCTATGATGTATGTGACAAATATTTTCTCCTATTTTGCACTTGTCTTTTCAACTTTGCTTAAGATGTCTTTCATCACTTGGAGTTGTTTAATTTTTCTGTAGTTAAATCTGTCAGTCTTTTCTCTTATGGCTTCTGAGTTTTCTGTCTTGCATAAGAAGGCCTATTCTACCCTCATGAGTTTTAGACATATTCAGATAGCCCTTGTAGTGCTGTTGAATGGTGGCCCCCCAAAAAGATATGTCCATGCCCTAATCCATCATAATCTGAAGGGTTACCTTATTTAGAAAAAGGGTCTTTGGAGATATAATTGAAGGATCCTGAGATGAGATCATCCTGGATTACCCCGGTGGGCCCCAAATCCAATGACAAGTGTCCTTACAAGAGACATGGCAGAGAAGACAATCTGAAGATGGAGCTAAAGTCCTCAGCCATCTCTGCCTTTGGGATTCCTCCCGTGGCCCTGTCCCTGGCCATCTTGCTGTCCCATCTCTACCCATCCAGGCTCCCTCCGGACTCCTCTCTTTCTTTCCAGGATCCTTCATGGCTGACCTGACCAAAGGAAAATTCTCAAAACCAATGACCTAAATGGTAAACAATGGCTACATACATAGGAGTCACCCTTGCCTGACACATTAGGCACGGGAGTAAATTAATCAGGACATAGATAAGCAAAGATGAAAAATGTTACAATTACTTGTATTCTACTACTCTGAGCTATTTATGTGTCTATCCACCTTCTCCCTTCCTTCCCTCCTTCCGCTGCCCTCAAATTATAAAACAGGATATTATGTGCATTGTTTTAATTCTGAAGCTTAGAAAATTTTTGTTTCGAGTTTCAAGTGCATTGGCAAAAAGTGGTTCACAGATTCCTCGTATGACTTTTAGACTTTTGCTGTATTTGTAATCATGTCCCCCTTTCTTTCTGAATGGTTAGGGTTAGGGTTAGGGTTAGGGTTAGGGTTAGGGTTAGGGGTTAGGGTTAGGGGTTAGGGTTAGGGTTAGGGTTAGGGTTAGGAATAGTGCTTGTTTGGGCCTAAGCTTTTTACCCTGATTTTTATACAGGTATCTCATTTTTAGCTGCTTGTCCTCCAAAGCCTCAAGGCCCACATCCTGGCCCCATGCAGAAATGAAAACTGCAGCCACCAGCCAGCAGAACCTACGGCCTGCTGTTTTCTCCCATTTGACTAGGCTGACCATTCTGGTTTCAAATTCCCTCTTCACTTCTAGGAATACCCCTTTCTTAATTTTCCCCATAGCTTAGAGGAAAATTGAGATATACTCCACATACCATAAAACTTACCCTTGTATTAAATTGCACGATTCGGTAGTTTTTTGTATACTCATAAAGTTGTGTAAGCACCACCACTATCTGATTCTAGAACATTCTCATCAACCCAGAAAGAAACCCCATATTTATTCAGTTACTCCTTACTGCCTGCCTCCCTCAGTCCCTGCCAACCACCAAGCTACCTTTTGTTTCCATGAATTTGCCTCTTCTGGACATTTACTATAAATGGAATCACACCATATTGGGCCTTTTGTGTCCGGCGTCCTTCTTTGCACGTGTTCAAGATTTATCCATGCTATAACATCTATCAGCACTTCATTCCTTTGTAATGCCAAATAATATTCCATTTTTAGCTATACCATGTTTTATTTATCCATTCATCAACTGTTGGACATCTGGGTTGTTTCTGCTTTTTGGCTATTAAGAATAATACTTCTAATAATATTCATGCTCAAGTTTTTGTGTGAACATGTCTTTTCAATTCTGGAAGTAGAATTATTGGGTCATACGGTAGTGCTATATTGAAACTTTTAAGAAACAGCCAGACTGTTTCCCCAATGGCTGGACCATTTTATATCTGCATTGGCAATATATGAAGTTTCCAAATTCTCCACGTCTTCACCATCACTTGTTATTGTCTGCCTTTTCTATTACAGCTGTCCTAGAGGCTGTGAGGTGGTATCTGATTGTGGTTTTAATTTGTGTTTCCCTAACAATGAATAATGTTGAGTATCTCTTCATGTCCTTATCGGCCACTTGTACAGCTTCTTTGGAGAGAAGTCTACTCAAATCTCTTGTTGATTTTTAAATTAGGTTATTTGTCTTTTTATTGTTGTGTTGTAAGAGTTCTTTGTGTATTCTGGATGCAAATCCCTTATCAGTTTTATGACTTGCAAATATTTCTCTTTCTTATGTTAAACCTTAAATTTTATTGGTATTTTTAATGTGCTTTTTAGTACAAAGAAGTGTCACACGAGCTCACCTCATCCTGCTATTAGAATTGAAAGCCTACTTATGGTTTTATAACCTCATTTTCCACTTAATGATGACATATCATAAACATGACAACTCAAAAAGTGTTTACAGCTTTAGCTTCCAGGTACCCTGAGCTGGCTTACGCATCTGCCAATATGTGAGCAGGGCTTACTGCTCTGCATGGCGGTCCCCAAAACTGATTTGTTGCTTGAGCATTAGGTAATAAAGGGAGGCTGAATCCAGTATTAAAAGGGGAGGCCACATCAGGCCTGCTAATAATTCCATAGGGTAAAATGTTATATTTGTGAATCTGGGTGAACAAAATGTTTACAGGGAAACAGGACAGGGGTTTTTTTTGTTTTGTTTTGTTTTTCTCTCTTAAGGCATGAAGATGTTCTTTTCCAGTCCTTTGGATTTAGAGCAGGAGAAGAGCTAAGTTATCAATGGCTCTGACAAATGTAAACAACATAAGAACAGCCTTAGAAATTGACAAGCTTCTATTGATATTTCAGAGACACTAAATTAAACGGGATAAAACATCCAGTAAAGAAAGTCTTTAGGGATCAAAAAGGCTCTGTGAACTCAATACACAGGATCACTTGAGCTTTATGAGTTTTGTTTCCTGATACACAGAGCTTCAAATGCCAACGGCATTTTAACACTCACCAGGTGTCTAATAATAAAACTGTACCAATCCTCCAGAGTTTGGCCAAGCAAATAGGGTGTTTTGAACGACAGGCTCTGTGGAGGAGTAGAATGCCCTCCTTCTGAACTATCTCTGATTTATGAGCTTCTATTTCCCTGTAGTACCTCATGGAAGAAGTCACTGGATAGAATTATATAGGATAATGTACAGTGGCTGATTCCAGAATCAACTAAGAATCATGCAAAACCACGTACCTGCTTCAAAATGTCCTAGGAAGGATCAGGCCCCCAAATGGCCCTCCAAGTTAGAAAAAAGTGATGGGTTTAAAGGCAAAGGCTAGGGTACATAGCTGGGCTCAGTCACTTAGCAAAGAGCCTCTGCTTTCTGAGTTGCAATGAAAATTCCTACTTCACAGAGTTGCTAGAGACTGTAAATGAGCAAAACAACAGTAAGCAAATACTAGGTGTTCCTTTGGATTAGCAAAAAACATAGTGGTCTCCATACCTATAACATTTGATCACACTTGTTTATATGTCGAGAAGGTTTCTGTGATAGTATTTGGGCAAGAGTGCCCAAGACTTACTTGTGGGTTGAGCACTGGATCATAGTAGGTATGAAGTAGCATCTCACTGTGGTTTTGGTTTGCATTTCTCTAATGATTGATAATGTGGACATTTGATCAGTTGGTCTTTAGCATGTCATCTAACATCTGATCTAGCCTCTTCTTGATATATCACTCTGAAACAGATATCTGAAAAGCCTATCAGTGTTTCATGGTTTCCTGGTCCACCGCCATGCCGACTCTGCAAGGTCAGTAGTGGGTGAAGCACCATGTGTCGAAAGGATGCACACAGGCTCACTGGGGACGGTGTGTCATGATAAGTTAGTGGTATCTGCCATGAGCATAGCAGGGATAAGTAATGGCATATATGTCACTTGTTTTCTATCAAAGAGACAGTGATTCCGATCCATAGCTATAAGCCACCACTTCATGGTCACAGGCACTATTGCTTCAATTGCCAATTACTCACTCAATTCACATTTGTTGAACGTCTACTATTCCAGGCATGGGGATTTAAAAAAACACATTCTCCTTTCCCTTTGTAAAACATGTATTAACGTGGAGATTCAAATGATGACACCTCAAGTAAAACATAAAACGATTCTAAGATGTAAGGCATTCTATTAGAGGGTAAGTTGGGAACTTAGACCAAGAATAACATGGTGACCTAGCTTAGATTGGGTGGTGAGAGAACTCT